GATTTGCGAGTAAGCCAGATGAAGGAAGAGTCATTTCTTCTGCTTTGACTAAAACCAAATTTATGAGCAGGAAAAAATAGTGATTTCTTTTGCCTTGACTTAATTTTCCAGGGAAGAATAACATAGGACAGTAAGCTGAAAGACAAGTGTCTTGAGTGAGCCATTGTAACCCCTCCTCCTGTTTGCTCTCCTGCACATGCTGGTTTAGTGACTCTTCCCTTCCACAGATGAGGAAGAGCTCCTTACCTGCCTGCTATCACAGAAGCCTCTGTGCCACATTTTGTGTTTCTGCCAAGTAGGCCATGTTTAAAGACAAGAGCATCTCTCAGAGTCCCTACAGGGCTGTCCTCTGCAGGACTTTCTCGACCTGTGTGCCTGGCAATACTTGTGTTTACTCTGGCATCGTTGAGCAGGAAGAAAGAGTGTTTCTGGGCCTCCTGGCTTTGTTTTCAAAAATGGATATAATAGGGAAATTACTTTTCTATTCACCAAGTTTAATTTTCTTAAACTTAATGGATTGTACCTGTGTGATGATTCTTCTGATCTGATGGTTCAGGCAAGCCTTCGGCCCATGTGGTTCTTGATTGACCCAGTTGTCTATTATTTTCCCATTCCCTTTGATCAGCTCAGTGTTTTCTAGAGTAGAAAGATTTAAAGTGTTATGCTATCATACTTCTAAGGGCTGCTTTCAACAGATGCCCAGGGAATATCTCATTATATATGACCATATCACATGGGATGGAAATACTTCTGATTTACTTTCAATATAGGGCATAAATTATAAAAACTTAGAAGAGGAGCTGGGGTTGTGGCTCAGCGGTAGCGTGCTCGCCTAGCATGCATGAGGCACTGGGTTTGATCCTCAACACCACATAAAAATGAAGACAATAAAGTCCATCAACAACTTAAAAAAAAATTTTTAAAAAACTTAGAATAAAAAATTCAGTGCTTAGTTAGGCTGTGTTTGATATCCTTAAAAATCTTGAAAATCTTCTAGTTTTAGAGACAACATCATGATATATATTTACAAATCTATGTATGGTTTAAGACTTAGTCTTTGGAAAGTCAATTCCTTGAAGACTAGATTCATGTCTTGTTAAATATTATAGTCAGTTCCAATAAAATATTTTAGCATCTGCAGGGGATTGGTTCTAGACAGACAGACAGACACACACACACATAACCAAAATGTATGAATGCTTGGATCCTCTATAGAAAATGGTACAGCATCAACACATAACCTACACAAATTCTTCTGTATACTTTAAGTCCTCCCTAAATTACTTATCATACCTAATATAATGTAAACAGTTACTATG